GGGGGAGAGACACGGCGCGGCTGTCGGCGGAGGAGTCGCTGCCGTCCAGCAGGCAAGGCGGGCGTGGGCCTGAAAGAGCCCGGCCGCCCTTTTCCGGGGCTGCCCTTAGAGACGGCGGCGGCGGCGGCAGCAGCAGGTTGGGGGCCGAGGAGGAGGAAGAGGGCCGAGGATCCGAGCAGGCTCTCTGGCGTCTCTCAGCCCAAGTCCGCCCGGGTCCTCTCAGAATCTGGCTCGCGGCGGGGGAGCTTTCCGAGCGGAGCGCGGCCCGGGCTGAGCCAGCTAAGCGAGGAGGACGCCTGCCCGCGGTCCGCCACCCCTCCCCTCCCCTCCCCTCCCCGGGCTGGGGAGGCTCCTCCGCCAGGCAGGGCTCTCCTTTGGCCCGGATCCCCCCCTCCCCTCCCCTCCGCCCAGGGGGCCTCTGCGTTTTTTGCCCAGAGATGCAAGGGCGGGGGGGGGGAGGAGCAGAAACATCTGGGGAAATCATTCCCCTGCAGTTTCCCCAAGGACTTTCCCCCAGTTCTTCCGAGGGAGAAACTGGCATTTGGGGGGAGTACTGAAAAAAGGTCCTATGAAATATTGCCCTTTTCAAAAGAATGCTTCTAAAGACCAGGCGGGCCTGCTGGAGGCCTGCAGCGCTCTTCAGTCCAAGCTGCCTTCCTGCACCTGGAGGGGCCCCTCCTCTGCAGGAGGGCGGCAGGCTGGCTTTCGAGCACGTCCCTTGTGGGGGAGACCTCTTCACCTCGCCCTCAAACCCCTGCCTGACACACCTACCCACAGGACGGGCATCCAGTGGCTTCTTGTTGCCCTGCCTTGCTGGAGGGAAAACAGGACCCAGGAGGAGGTGGGGCAGAAACTGCACCAAAGCCTCAGAGAAAAACTCTCAAAGTATCACTGAGAACAGAGCTCTCCCTAGTCAGAGAGCAGAAACCGAGGTCAATGCGCTCAAGTGGCACAGGGGGTGCGCCCGCTGGCTGTTTTCTCTCAAGTACTCGGGACATCTGCAATTTTGCTTGTACGAAACTAAGGCGTGTGTGACTTTTACATTCCACAAATACACTTCCCACAATTGGAAAAGATGCCTTTTCACATTTATCCCCTATTCTGACATATTTGTTGTTTTGCTGTCCTGTCCCCCCATAATTAAATCAAAACAACTGTTGACCTTATAACCTTCGCTTGTCGTTTAGTTTTGATTTTGCATATTAAAATACCTGCATCACGTTACATGATACTTTTGCTGTTCAGCCTGTCTATGAGTTTGAACTCTACCTTCCATTCCGGATGTATCTGAGGAAGTGGGCTGCCTTGCACAGGAGAGCTCGTACCTTGAACACACCTCGGGTGGTCTTAGAGGTTTATTTGCTGTTCAGCGTCTGTCTATGAGTTTGAACTCTACCACCTTCCTACTGCCTCAGACCAACACAGCTGACCACCTGGAACTATTCAACAAATATGTCAAATATTGCACACTACATTATAAATGACCCATTGCTAAAGCAGTAAAATTAGTTTGGGGCTGATAGGAGAGTAGATACTGTATAGATTTCAATTTTTCCTAAAATGTAAGCCCCCCCCCCCCCAAAAAAGGTAAGTTAAAAACCCTTGGCCGTGGCTTCAAAATTTCCAGAAATTCTGCCTCTCTACTTCTGTTTGGGCTTGATTTCCATGGACCACATAGGATCCACAGAGCTAAAAGCTAAGTCCTGGGTGGGTCCACCAGGCCTCTCTGGTCCCTCCCACCCCCCCCCCCCCCCGAGCTTATGCTGCCAAGTTCCAGGCGATTCAATGATTAAAAACAAAACAAAACACCACGACACGTCACAGTCAAAAGGTCGGTTCCTTTAAGCTTATTTACTGGTATTCGAATGCTTGGATTTTCTATTTCCCAGATTTTTTTTAAAAAAAAATCAAAACAAAACTCAGTTTTTTTTTTAATGACCAATATTTTGTTCCAAAAACATACAACCTTATCAGCTAATTAATGAGCGCTATTTTACAAACATACATACATCTGGATAATTAGAACAATAAACTCTTCTTTTTTTTCTTAGCGTCTCAGGAATGCGCTTCCCCCGCCCCCCCGCCCCCGGCTGAAATGGCTGCCAGAGCCTCCTCCCTCTCCGAGGCCCTCTCCAGCGGCTTCCTGACCTGCACCATCTGCCTGGAGCACCTTTGCCAGCCCAAGATCCTCCCCTGCCTCCACACGTTCTGTCGCGACTGCCTGCAGCAGCTGGCCAGCGGGCGGGAGGAGCTGCAGTGCCCCGAGTGCCGCGAGCGGGTGCCCCTTCCGGCCGGCGTCGAGGGCCTCAAGACCAACTTCTTCATCAACGGCCTCCTGGACCTCATCCGCCCGGCAGGGAGAGTGGATGCCCCGTGCAGCCTTTGCCCGCTGCTCGGCCAGGATACCAGCCGCTGTGCCGTGTCGCGATGCTTGGACTGTGCCGACAACTTGTGCCAGACTTGCGCCAGCGGGCACCGCTGCTCCCGGCTCACCCACGCCCACTGCATCGTCGACATGGAGGGCTACCTGTCTGGGGAGCACGACGAGGAGGTCCGCAAGCGGCAGGCCTCTTGCTGCCAGGAGCACAGCGGGGAAGCCCTGCGCTTCTTCTGCACCCCCTGCGCCACCGCCCTGTGCCGGGAGTGCCGCCTGGGGCCCCACCTGGAGCACCCCTGCCTGCCCCTGTCGGAGGCCGCCGAGGCCCGCTGCCCCATCATCGTGGGCCTCCTGGCGGGGGTGGAGGAGAAGGTGGGCCTCATCGCCCAGGCCCGGGCCCGGCTGGAGGAGCAGGTGGAGCAGCTGCAGGCCCACGCGGGCGGCGTCCGAGGCGCCATGGAGCGCACGTGCAGCCAGGCGGTGCAGCAGCTGCTGGCCCTGCAGGAGGAGGTCCTGGCCCAGCTCTCGGGCTTCGTGGAGGAGAGGAAGAAGGCCGCCGAGGTGCTCCGGTCGGAGCTGGAGTTCCAAGAGCAGGTGGCCTCCAGCACGGCGGCTTTTGCCCGGAAGGTGCTGAGCCTGGGCCGGGCCGTTGAGATCGTCTCCTTGGAGCAGATGATCTCCGAGAGGCTGAGGCAGCTGCAGAGCTTCTCGTGGGAGCCCCTCGCCTTCCGGCTGCCCCATCTCGCAGAGCACCCGAACCTTCAGAGCCTCCACGGCTTGTTCCACCTGGAATTCAGGGAGGAGCCCCCCCCAGGGGGCCCGGAGAGCGCCAACGGGAGCACCCCCAAAGGAGCAAAGAAGAAGAGGAGGAAGTCGCAGCAGCTGCTGCTGCTGCTGCCCACCGCCCACCACGAAGCGGGGAGGGCACCCGGCCAACAGAAGCCGAGCCCCCCCGTGGAACCCCCCAGCCTGCCTCCTGCACGGCCAGAAGCCCCCCCACTCACCCCCAAGGCCGTCTTCTCGAGCAGCTTCTGGGTGAAGGTCCCCAGCGACAAGAAGCGCCCGCAGGTGACCGGCATCTGTCCCCTTGGTTCCGGGGAGCTCCTCGTGGCCGACATGCAGAACAGGAAGCTGAAGAGGTTCTCACTGCAGGGGGAATTCAAAGGCCTCGTCTCTGTGCCGAGCGACGTGGCCCCCTTCAGCGTGGCCGCCGTGGGTGGCAGAGTGGCTTTCTCTGCTGGCTCTCGGCTCTTCCTCTTGAGTGGCGAGGGTGGCCTCCTGTGGCAAAAGGCCCTTCAGCTGGGCCAGGCCAGCCATGCCGTGACCGCAGTCGGGGGCAATCGTGTGGTGGTGAGCGTGGCGGGGCACCTGGAGCTGTATGACGTGGAGGGGCGGCTGGTGGAGAAGGTGGTGCCCGGAGGCAGCGAGGAGCGCAGCCTGGTCTTCCTGGCCAGCCGCAAGGGGGGCTTTGTGGCCTCCGACTGGTACCGGCGCAGCCTGCTGGTGTTTGGCAGCCAGGGGCAGTTGGTGGCTGAGCGCCGAGAGGAAGAGCTGGATGGGTGCCAGCCAGGGGCCGTCTGTGTGGACGCCACGGGGATCATCTACGTGGTGCTGCGTGAGCAGAACCGGGTCCTGGCCTTCTCCCAGGCTGGCAAGCCGCTGGGCCCCTTCCTGACCGCCGAGGATAGCATCGACCGGCCCCGGGTGGCCACCGTGACGGGGGACGGACGCTTTGCAGTGGCTCTGAGCAACGGGACCATCCACACCTTCAAGATCAGATATCAAAGCAAGTGAAGGCCTGGCCACCGGGCGTTGGGCGGGGGGAGAAGGTTCCTGGTGGGGGCCAGGGAATCTGTGGGCACGCCTGAAAGACAGAGCTTGGCCGGAGGGGAGGGGTCTGGCAGAGGCCCTTCTTCCAATGGGGAAGGGACCTGTTCCCTGAGAGGTCCACAGGGCAAAGGTCAACTGTTTCAGACTGTTGAACTGCCCTGGCTTCCCGCTTCGGGAACGCAACGGCTGTCCAAGCTGGAGGTCTTCCTTTCTGGGGTCTCTACAGACCCTGCAGGTTGTTGTGGGGTTTTTTTGGCGGGAGGGGGGAGGCTTCTGTGGCAAGGAGCCCAGAGAACTGAGGCCGCTTCCAAATGCTGGGAGAGAACAAGCGGGGGGGGGGGGGTGTGGAGCTAGGAGTGCATCCGGGAAGAAGAGAGTGCGGCTGTTTTATGCACCAGGGTCACTGGCGACAAAGAGCGTCTTTGCTGGAGCGAGGAGCACACCGGCTTCTGGCTTGCACAGAAGTCTTTGTCAGACAGTTGGGGGATTTGGAGGAGGCCGGCCTCTCTCCGGAAGCCAAGTGTCTTGAGGGCTGAGTCTGCCAGGTTAGCACACGACTCTCTTCATTCAGCGTATCTGCCAGCAGCATTTTATATTCAGGGGTTATTTGGAGCCATCTGTGCCTTGCTCAAAGTAGCAGGCTGTACCTGGAGACCAGCAAGATGTGAAACAGGCACTGTATTTAACCTCTAGCACAGACCTGACTAGGACTTAACACCACGCCCTCCTGGAGCATTTCCCTTCCCATATTTTGAGGGTGTTTGGGGTTGTTGTTGGTTTGGTAACATCCAGCTGGAAGAAGAGCTCTGGACCACTCGGAAGCTCACACCGCTGCTGGGTTGGTCCTAATAAAAGGTAATACACGTGGGGCTGTGTTCAGAACAAAGAGGAGACATCCCAAATGTAAAATCCCATAAGCTCAGCTAGCTGTTGAATGTGTGTGAAGTTTTCTTTTCAGTTTGCGCAGAGGGAGCGGGACTGCAGGGGTGTGAATCATGGCTGCCGGAGGCCGGGCAGGGGCACCACCCCCTATAGATGGGGGTGGTGGCAGGGGGCCACCCAAGGCTCTGCATAATAAGCTCCCCCTCCCTCCCTTGAGGGTAACTCTTGCAGGGGCTGTTCCCCATCGTGGCCACCAGGTGGCACAGCAAAGCACCTGCCGGTCGACGGTTTGGGTCTCTGTCCGCCCAGGGCCTGGTTTCATTCATAGGTTGGGCCTGGGATTTGCCCAGAGTACTTTGTGGCATTTAAAATGCTGGAGGTCACAAACTCAGCCCAGCTTTCTGAAATGTGAATGAGCATGCCTGCGGTTCCTTTGTGTCCCCGCCCCAAGTGACCACTGCCGGCCGCCCAGCCGAAGGCAGCCTGACTGGGTGTGGAGCCGGGCTCTGGCCTCTGGGGAAACAGGGATCTGCAGGGGGCCGAGACGCTCAGCACTTGGGGCACCCTCCTCCGCACGGTGGCTGAGGAGGCGCATGAGGCGAGGCGAGGCTCCGAAGAGACTGGCAGGGCCTTTCGTGCCCAAAGGGCCCGTTCCTCCCTGAGAACACAGCCAAACTGGCCACGTCCACTGCTGTTAGGAGGAAATGTGGGTGTGTGCATGTCAAGGGGGCTCTGTGGGTACAGAATCAGGCTGCATTTTGTCACATGATGCCCAAAGTTGTGAAGCTGTTGCCATTTGGGAAAAACCTCACGTCCAGGCACTCCTTAAAGACCAGCCACCTCTCGCAGGGCAGCCGCTTTTGTGACTCTGCAGCGCCCAGCTCTGTGTTCCACCTGCCTCTGCCTCTCTCGCCTCCAAGCGCCAATCGAGCTGCCCTCTGTGTTGGGCAAGGCACTGCTGCGTCCTCCTCGCTCCTGGGGGCCCTCCGCTGCAACACCCCTCCCACCTGCAGACGGAGGGGGCTTTGGCCCCCGGTTGTCTCTACGGTGCTCTAGGACTTGGATTCTGCTCCGCCTGCTGCTATTGTGCAGTGGCCGCCGACTGGGGGTGGGGGCGGGTTGCCCAGGCACACGCAGGTATGTCTGGAGGAAGAGCCAACGGCGCAGGTGTGGGCCGGTGCCCCCGGCCTCTCTGGTGCCACTTCTGGCCGATGAGGTGAGAGGAGCCACCAACGTGTGCCTTATTTTCATAACTTTGCAATAGTTCTCTCTTGGGCAGCAATAATACAGGGCAGCAATTGTTTTTTAAAAGACAATAAAAATGTCCACTTGCATCAGTCTGCTTCCTCTTTAAAAACCTCTTTGCCAACAGGAACGCTGAACCAATCTCCCTGGAAACAGGCTTCCTGTCCTCCTGTTGCTTCTAACAGATAAAGTTTTGATGCAATAACAGTCTAGAGCAACGGGTGCCTTTGCAAGTGGCTCCCAGGAAGTGCCATCGATTCAGAAGTGAGTCCCATGCCGAAAAAGGGTGGGGACCATTCGACCAAAGCGGGGGGAGGGGGCACGGGGGCGCATCCATTCCCGATGACCCTCTGCTTGTACCCTG